TCATTACACTGACATGAGAAACAAAAAAAATAAAATTAAAATGAAGACGATATGGAAAAGGCAATTGATCATGCAAAGAGGTAGGTATAAGAATATCAAAGGAGCAGCTACAACTGGATGTATGGAATTCCAGTGTCAACACTACAGCTTCGGGACCATCTAGCTCATGGTAGCGTCACAAGGAAAATATGTACAAAAAGAAGGGCCAATGTCCAACTTGTGATGCACCATATGATGAAGACAGTGAGGTTTGGATACAATGTGACTCATGCCAAGTTTGGGTCCCACAAAGACTGTGGACAAGGTATGGAGAATGGGATGATGAAGAGCTTGAAGATGAAGCATTCTTCTGTGCTGATTGCCAGTAAAATAAAATAGTACCTATTATACTTACTTATATAATAATCTTTTATAGTAGTTTCATTCATATAATCCAAGATATCCAGCATTTAATCACTTTGTTTACTAAGTCACCATTTCTAAGTTTAATCTGTATACTAAGCTTTTCGCCGTAATCTTTACCATGTATTGTCGTATACGTCTATGTCGAAATAGCCCCAGCTGTATCGGAATACAGGCGCAGATCCAGGATTTTGGAAATGGGGAAGGTGCAAAGTAAAATGGCGTGCGAAGCGCGCCGAAATTTTGGCCACGCCCCCTTTTTGGCACTATTTTGTGGTTAAAATCGCGTAAAATCAGCACTGGCCACCATTTTTGGAGCTCTTTCTTTGTTAATTATATTCATAAACCACAGTAATGTTGCTATATAAACTACAGGTGGCTAGCACTTCTACCACTGTTGCAACAATAAAAGCATTAATTTTTTTTGAGTTAGAATGTTTTGGGGGGGGGGTTGCAACCCCACAAACCCCCCCCTAGATCCGCCCCTGAATAGCCCCGTGACACGTGACATTCAAAGAAATGTTTTAAAAATAGTAAAAATGAATAAAATTGTAATAAAATTTGAAGATAAGCTCCTAAATGGATAGAAAAGTTTAAAATGGAGTCAAAAAATTTGTAAGTTGAGCAGGAGGGCGGTATTAATTCTATGAATAATTAATGAACAGCTTAGCCACCAAATATGTCGGAATAGCCCCGGTTGACTATAACTCACCAACAAGAAAGATTTAAAGAGTCCCACAAATACTAAAACAATAACTAGTCTTGATCTACTGGAAAAAAACTCATTTACCTCCAGAGTACTACCGCTATTGCTGGGCATTTTCTCGTGAGATAAAAAGCTTCTACTAGCTAGAGCTGCTCTCTAAACATCTCAAGGCAGTAAAGCAAGACTTTTCCTAACAGAAGAGAAGCTCTCACAGATTTAGAGCACGCGATTATAAAGATATACATTCTCAAAAACAAAATATAGCACACAGAATGAATGAATGACAGACAGACAAACTGAGTACCTAGTCCTCGCCTACGCAAAGCTGGGCGAGGCCAATGATGGCAGCAAGAAGACCATGTGAGAAAGAAGCTTCACTTTTTCTTTACTAATCAGCAAAATATGATAAACTTGCTGACAGAAAGTTGTTGCCCTTTATGTAGTTGTGATAGTATAGGTACTTTTTAGTGCCTATAGTGATGTAGGTGTCGCTCTAGCACTTCACAAACTCGTGACCTGGACACATTCGAGCAAGTATAATTCTTCATCAAGTAAGATTTACAAAATTCTGTTCATATTTATTGATAGCCATGTTCTAATGTACTAGAAAATGCTACCAGCTATCTCTAGAGTGCCAACACGAAGGAACTTGGGTCAACCACTCGATTTTCTTACTTTGAAGCTTCTGTACCTAGCGCTTATATTTGGACAACACTAAACAGTTCAGAATGACTTTTTCAGCTCAAGAAGAAAGATCTAGGAGCTTGGAACACGCTGTGCTAAAGTTATTATTTATTAAAGACAAAATCATTTGTACAGAATGAATGACAGACAAAACAGACACAACAACTACCTATACCTCACGTAGGCGAGGCCAAAAATGCATTTTAAATATTTATATATACCTTTATCTTTCGACCATAAACTAATTTACGATGCAAATAATGTCTGTCTTCTTCCTAAATATAAAACAATTTCAAAAATAGCTAATCGTGACACACCCCTTTGTTAGATACGAGAAAAGTGTGTGTCAACCAAACTGACCTTCATGATTGAGAGAGGTGAAGTTGACAGATCAGGCCTGTATAATAATAACAATAATAATAATGATAATAATAGATTAATTAATTAATAACTCACTGAGCATATTCTGGTAAAACTTGGAAAGAAATAGCTTCAAAAGAGAGAGAAAGGCGAATATAGCGAGAGATGAAATAATACTATAATATAGGCATAAGGACTTACCGTGCACATTGGGTCGTTCCTTTTCGCTTTTAATGACAGCACAAGTGTAGTCCGAACTATTTGTTTAAGGAAAAGGTAAAGACAGTATTGCAGACATTGGATAAGGTAGCGTGTAGATTACCAGGGAGGTAAAACGTATACAAATCCACTGACATCCTTGTCCACACAAGAGAGAAGGATAGTGTCTCCTTCATGGACTGGCCTAACACCAGTCGTCATTTCCACTCCAAAATACCGCGTACCGTAGGACGACTAATTTTCGCGAATGCTAATAAGAATTTCCATGGAAACGGTTTAGATAGTTGCTATGGCGATTGACCACGTGTTTATACAATTACAGTGTCAGGGGCGGATCTAGGGGGGGGTTTGTGGGGTTGCAACCCCCTCAAAACATTCTAACTCAAAAAATTTTTAATGTTTTTATTGTTGCAACAGTGGTGAAAGTGCTAACCACCTAGTTTATATAGCAACATTACTGTGGTTAATGAATATAATTAACAAAGAATGAGCTCCAAAAATGGTAGAAAAGTTTATTTTCACGTGATTTTAACCTCAAAATAGCGCCAAAAAGGGGCATGGCCAAAATTTCGGCGCGCTTCGCGCGCCATTTTTTCTCTCCACTCCTCCATTTGCAAAATCCTGGATCCGCCCCTGAGTGTCCAGCAGCTAATCAAGCTATCTTTAGCAGCTTTAGTGGAGCCATCCAGCTCTCTTATCCAGTTATATTCTTGTATAGACCACTACCTTCGAGCTTTTTGCTGCAAAATCAGTGCTGGTCCGTCGGTCATGATTATAACCACACCCAAGTCAATAACATAATGTTTATTGGTTTGGGTGTCGTTTATAATCATGAC